TTATCTTTTGAGTGAGTTTTAAAATATTAATTTAGTAATTATATGCGACTAATGATTTATTTTTTACGTTACGATATATATTATTATTAAATTAAAAACAATAAACATATATATTACATATTTATTATTATCTTTGGTTAATATTGTTAAATTTAAATTCTAAATATTATTTTATAAAATATCAAAACAATCAAATAATTTTTTATGTAAATGAAATTATTAAATTAATATTGTAGGTGGAAAACATGAAACACTATTAAAAAAAATTGAAACATAAATTACATAACTTTAAAAAAAGTATCGATCATTTTTATAAAAAGTATGGACACTTTCAATATAATAAGTAAAAATATGATGTAATAGGTAGCGCTTATATAATGTAATAGGTATCGTTTATATAATGTAATAGGTAGTGATTATATTGTAAAGTGTCTATCCTTTTTATAAAAGTGTCCATACTTTTTTCACTGTGGAAAACATTAATTTAAGGTTATCTTTTGAGTGAGTTTTAAGATATTAATTTAGTAATTATAGGCGTCTAATGATTTATTTTTTACGTTAAGATATATATTATTATTAAATTAAAAACAATAAACATATATATTACATATTTATTATTATCTTTGGTTAATATTGTTAAATTTAAATTCTAAATATTATTTTATAAAATATCAAAACAATCAAATAATTTTTGTGTAAATGAAATTATTAATTAATATTGTAGGTGGAAAACTGAAACACTATTAAAAAAAATTGAAACATAAATTACATAACTTTAAAAAAAGTATCGATCATTTTTATAAAAAGTATGTACACTTTCAATATAATAAGTAAAAATATGATGTAATAGGTAGCGCTTATATAATGTAATAGGTATCGTTTATATAATGTAATAGGTATTTGTAAAGTATCTATCCTTTTTATAAAAGTGTCCATACTTTTTTCACTGTGGAAAACATTAATTTAAGCTTATCTTTTGAGTGAGTTTTAAGATATTAATTTAGTAATTATAGGCATCTAATGATTTATTTTTTACGTTACGATATATATTATTATTAAATTAAAAACAATAAATATATATATTACATATTTATTATTATCTTTGGTTAATATTGTTAAATTTAAATTCTAAATATTATTTTATAAAATATCAAAACAATCAAATAATTTTTTATGTAAATGAAATTATTAAATTAATATTGTAGGTGGAAAACATGAAACACTATTAAAAAAAATTGAAACATAAATTACATAACTTTAAAAAAATTATCGATCATTTTTATAAAAAGTATGGACACTTTCAACATATTATAATGTAATAGGTAAATTTGCAATGCTATCGGTATAAATATACCGGTTTACTTATAAAATAGGTAAATATAAGCCTACCTATTACATTATATAAGCGCTACTTAGTATGTTATTGTACTTTATAATATTTCCGGTTAAATAATATAACATAACCGGTCTAAATTTTAACCGGTCACGTCGTATATTAGCCGTTTTTTAGGCGCCGCACCGCAGAACTACCCCAATACAACAAGAATGAAGCCTTTATCTATTAAAATTGGCTTAATTATAAACTAAGTGTCTAAATTATACTGTTTTTTCATGAATAGGTGTCTAAACTATTTTTTGAATGATCTCAATGCCTAAAGTTACAAACGTTACCACTTTAGGTGTCAGGACCGTGAACGACATCAATTTTCTCCGTTACAAACGCCGATTCGTTGTCGATCAGTTGGAATTTCATAGGGGTTTTGGTATTCAGAGGAAGGTGAGGTCGGGTGGAACTTTGGCAACGCAAAGGGCAGCGACCAACATGAGTTTAGGGGTTGAAATGAAGGTTTTTAAAGTTTTTGTGTTATTTCAAAATTTCTTTGTTTTTTAAATATAATTTTATTTTTAAATAAAATGTTTAAAATAATCATAATGTGATATGTGTCACTTAATGGAGGAAAATAACGCCATTGACGGTTCAAACACCTAAAATGATAACGTTTGTAACTTTAGGCACCAAGATCATTCAAAATATAGTTTAGACACTAATTCATGAAAAAGGCTATAGTTTGGACACTTATTTTATAATTAAGACAAAAAAGAAGAAGATAAAGAAGCAGAAGAATGAAGCCCTTTACATTAGATACCAAGCTGAAGGGCTCTGGACCTTCCGAGCCCTACAATGGGGTCTCAACCCAAAACATTCAACAGATACATAAAGATGCCGGTTGGGTCCAGTGTCTTTTTAAATCAAATTTTGAATTTGAGTCTCGTGAATACTAAAAGTAAGTCTTAGGATAATTTTTGTTTTATATTTTATTTGATTTAAATCCTAAATAATTCAAATATATTGATTTATAACTTTTTAGATTCATTTATTTTTAATTAACTATTCGTTTTAAAAATGTAAATTAAATTTTGGTTCCTTATATTTTTCACATAACTCTGGTTATGTTGTCATTCATATTCGTTTCTTCTTCTCTCTTTTTTCCTTTTATCTCTTTAATTTTTATTTTTTGTTGTTATTTTGTTTAATATATATTTCCATTCTCTAATAAATGTTGTTGGGTTCTTTTATCCTCTTGAATCATGGTTTTCTCTCTTTTTCAAGATTAAATTTGTCACCATCTCATTTATTTAGTTATCTTGTTGACATACCTCTAATTTAGACCATCGATTCAATTATCTCACATTGATAGATATCTGTAATCATCACAATATGCTACGTTTAAGTTGTGATAAAGTCAGTTTGTAACATATAATTGTGGTTGTACTTGTTTTCATATTAGGGGGTGTTTGTTTCGGGGATGATCTTTTCCGGAATTTTATTTTCATGTTTGGTTCATGAAAAATATCATTATCAACTAATAACTTATTACCAATAGTAGCATTTTTTTGTTAAAATGGTGGGAATGCCATTACCTTCAAATTCTTAGGTAATGAACAATTCCCACCACTTTGGACATAAATATCCCTGAAATAATAATTTTTTTTCATATGGATCATTCTCAATTCTTATTCTCCGTGTTTTACTCAAAATTATAAACTTAATAATAATAATATACAAAGAGTTTAATTTAATAAATATTAATAAATTTGAGTAGTTAAAATTGTTTTATATTTTTAATACTTAGTATATTAATTATTTTATAATTTCATGAGGTGAAAATATTATTATTGTAAAAATATAATTATTTAAATAATATTTAATTTTGAGTTATTAAAAATAGATTTTATACATTAAAAAATAATATATGTGTCCACTCGAGATTACAATATTGTTTTTTATATTATATTATATTTTATATAAATAAATATGATACTTATAAAAATTATTTAAAGTTATAAGTTTAATGTACTAATATACTAATTATAATTTAAATGTATTTTTCTTTAAACTTAGATAGCGTAATAATTGCACAAACTAACTTACCTCAGCGGTTAAAGGAATTATTGTTGTTTCGATAGGTCATGAGTTCGAGCACCAACGACTGTAGCAGAGTGATTGAACGTTCATTGTCAAATGGTTGAGAGTATATTTAGAACATATACTATTTGTAATCACCTTAGCTTAATTAAAAAAAAGATAGTGTAATAATTAAAATATTTTTATAGATTTTTATTCAAATATTTGCAATTTAATATTAAAGTTTTACTTGTTAAAAATATATATCACAAGGATAATTTGGTAAAAATATGCATCCAAGTAATCTTATATTCCTCCAACTAAACACTGTAATCTTACATTCCTGCTAAGCAAACCAAACATGGTAATACAACATTCCCAAAGTAATGTTACATTCCGATAATCTTATTCCCAGGGTGCGTTTGGTTCACGGAATGTAAGATTACCAGTGAAAATGTAAGATTACAAGTGGGAATGTAAGACTACCAGGGAATATGATTACTGGGAATGTTGTATTTTGTGTTTGGTTGGTTTAGCAGGAATATAATATTACCGTGTTTGGTTAAAGGAATAAAAGATTATTGGAATGTATATTTGACCAAATTATCCTTATTATATATTTGTTTTTTTTAACAAGTTGGGAAATATTTATATATTTTCTTTAAAAAATTTAAATTTATAAAATTTATATAATTTTTTTTATAAAATTGAAAATCTAAAAAGGTTTAATGAAAGGGTAAATTTTTATTTTAACCCCTGAACTTCATATAAAATTTTAATTATAGACTTTTTTTTTGTAAATCTAAAATAGTTTAAGGATAAATTTGTAATTTAACATTCGTAGAATTTTTATTATTCAATGACAGAAGAATGATATTTTTGAAAAAAAATTAAGGGCATTTTAGTCTAAAACGCTGGTAATCCAACAATACATAAGGAAATGGAGGTAATGACATTCCCGGTAATATACCCAAAAAAATCCACTATTGGTAATCTTACATTACCGGGAATTTCATTCCCGGAACGGGAGAATGTGAATTCCATTCTTATGGGAATCCCACATTCTCCCATCCAAACGCCCCCAAAAGTTATCATACATTCCGTGAACTAAATGCATCCTTAGTGTTGATGGTACTTATCCTTCACCGTCAACAATGGTATTTGTTCATATCTTTTATTTTTTTTAGTTTGATCCAATTTTTTAATCTTTTTCATATATGATCATATTTTTATTATTTAATGACTAAATTATGTTCTTTGATGATTTTAGTAGAAATGGATGGTTAATATAATTAGTCTATTTTAGTTTTTATATATTTTTAGTTTATGGGATTGAAATTTTATTGTATTACATATTTTTTATTAAATAAAATTAATTTTCATTAGTTTAAAAAATCACACACACACATACATATATATTTGGATGAATTTGCTTTATATTCCAAACTCAACCACAGAACAACAAACATCCTAAGCAAAACAGCCCCTATACACCCATGAAAAAACCAAACAATAAAAAAGAACAGGACAATTTAAACAATCAATCCCCACCCTGTACACCAAGCACTATTTACAGGACCACCGGAATTAACTTTTAACCCACTAAATGGCAACCGAACTGCCTCCCTAATCCGATCCACCAAGCTATCCACAGAAGCCGCGACCCCTCGAAGTGTCTATTATTCCGCTCCCTCCAAATCATCGTGATGTAATAATTCCAAGCAAGACGAAGCAAAGCAGATAATAAAGACCTGCCTTTCAGCTGCCGACAAGCCCAAAGAAACTCCTCATTCCAATCAAGAACAACTATCGACTGATTGCACAGCCCCAAGACACCAGCCCAAACAACTTTTGTTAAACAAGAAGTAAAAAACAAGTGGTCCCTCGACTCCAACACTTTAGAACAAAACTCACACAGTCCGTCAATCTGCAACCCGAAAGACAAAAGCCGAGCCTTAGTCGTCAGCCCATCAAGAACCGCCATCAAAGCTATCACAGAAAATTTAAGGACGTGACCCGAATGCCATACAAGCCTACCCCAAGGAATTTTCACACGATGCACCCTCAGCTCATCCCAAATCAAACGTAGGAAGAAAAAGAAGTCCCCGACAAGCCATGAATCATACCTGCTCTAGCTCGAAGCTGTAGAAGACATCTCCAAGTCCAGCTACTTCCCTGGGAGCAAGACATAAAGAATTCTGCTTCACAATGTACGCATGCACCCAAGCCACCCAAATAGACCCAACCTTCAATAGCAATTTCCGAATTAAACCAACAAAGCATAAACACTTGTTACTATCTTAACTAGGGAAGGGCATGGGATCCGAATCCGAAGGGTTCTAGCTTGACTAGACCTGATTGATGAGTTGGATTTTTTAAAAAAGATTTTAGGTTCGGGTCGGATTGGATTTTTTAGAGGTTATGTTTGGGTCGGGTCAGTCGGATTTAGGTTGAAAAATACTCAACCGACCCAAAAATATATATATTTACCTTATATATTTAGGGATAATTGCAAAATATTCCTCAATATATATTATTTTTCAATAAATCCCTATTTTTATCGAATAAAAGTAATATATTTTTAATAAATATATGATTTCATGTTGGGTCGAGTTTGAACTTTAACTAAAAAAGATAGGTCAAATTCGAGTCAAACGAAAGGTGTATATTTTTCAGGTCGAGTTCGGATGTAATAGAGGATGTATAATTTTCGGACCGGGTTGGGTGGACCAAAAATTGACTCTACCCGACCCGACCCATGTCCATCCCTAATTTTTTAAGAAATTCACTATCAATATACCTGATAATAAACCTATCTATATTCATATGCAAGCTTCTAATTTTCTATTCCGTTTCTTTTTTCAGCGTTAGCCGTTTTTTATTAATCATGTCTAATTGATTTGCTAAATGTGTGCATTTCAACGTCAAAAAACGTAATCATATCCTGTTTTTGTGATTAATCTAGCAAGTAATACGAATTTATTTTCAACCATGCATGTGCAATTCTTCAATAATTAATAATTTTCCGGGATCTACTCGCAATAGGTAAGGCGAAAGGACTAAATGAATTGAAATGAAAAATACTGAGTATTGAAATGAGACCCACATTTACGTCAGGGAGAAAGAGAAAGATAAACTGCCATTCTTCAAAATTACTAATCAAACGATCTCGATAATAAAAGAATTGTTGTTGTTTCGTTTCAGGTTCAAGTACCATAAATGTTAGTGGTGTGAGCTTTTAATATCAAAAGGCTGAGAATTATGTTTAAACAGATACTGCATCTACTTACCACAGATTAATAAAATAAAATATAACCATTAATATGCATGAAATACAAAACCCTAAACCCTAAATCTCAAACCATTACTTCATCAGCTGAAAATTGTGTCGAGTCCCTAGAATAAGTATATACACATTTTGATTTGTTCTTTTTAAACCCAAATTTGTTGCAGTTGGAGTATGTTCTTCAGCATGAAAGTGATGGCCACGTGCAGTATCGGTCACCTTGCTTGTTCGTAATTAAGGGCTCACCATGTGAGCCGTCTCAGCTTAATTAACTCAAACTATATTTTTAATAAAAAAAATAAACTATTTGTTCAATATACATCCCATTATTAAATTAAACTCGTCATTGGCTAACCATTTGACAAAATATAAAAGTATAAATACATTTCTTTAAGATATCAATCCTATTATTTTCCATGTAAAACAAAGTATTGGATCAAAAATCAAAAGCATTCATTGTCACCACCCTTTTTTCCTTTTAAAAGATAAATGATAAGTTTCACCACTCAATTTTAATCTTACTCTCATTTTGATTTTTAGATTCTGAAAAGTTTTAATTTGATCACTTAACTTTAAAGGTTGATCTTTATTCACTCCATCAATAAATCACAACTGCTACGATAATATGGCAATTTACGTCGAAATGACATCCTTTTGAATCCCTACAAAAAGCTACATTTACACCACAAAATCATTTTGGATCCATATTAAAAAAAAATCATATTTATTTTCTCATTTTCTCTTCTTCTCCCGAACCAACCCAGATTCTAACCATCATTGACTATTATTTCAACCACAGTTAGTCATCTTCTATGATAACCGATGAATCTAAAAATTTATTATCAAACTCGTTTCGCCCTCATAAACATGATCCCAGTGTCTGTTTAATTGGAAAATATCTTAAACTCCACGAATCTAATGTTGAATGCTTAGATTTCTATATCTCTGGTCTCCATCGTCTGTCGTTTGGATAAAATCCAAATATAAATGTGTTGCTCCTTGTCATAAGAGGGGCATCTTAACCGTTGAGACCTTCAAATAGAAGCTTTAATCGATCTTTCAAATTAAGTTATTATATTGAAATTTTTAAAAAATTTAACGACCAAAACAAAGTTAAGGTTAAAATTGAATAGTAAAATTTAATTTAAGAAGAAAGTAAACTTGGAGTATTACGTGCGGTGGTATTTGAAAGACCATGAACCGCTGGATCGGGATGATTCAACGGCTCATAACCACCATCAACGGCAAAATTAACGACCGCCTTTGTAAGCCGCAAATCTTGTGTGCGTTGAGACTAATTAATTCGAAGTTAATTAAGCGTATCCCTTTAATTGAGGGACAAAGGCTCACGATTAGAAACGCGAGATACCAAATTTCTGAATCGGACCCGTCTCTATCCGACGTTAACCGCCCCAGTGGACCCCCACATATCGAAACGTAACCGCCTGGGATTTTTTTAATATATAATTTTATATATATATAATACTTATATACTTCTCCAAAATCAATAGTAAATATTATTTACATTTTGTAATACTCATATTCACAAAAAAAAAATCAAAATATTTCTAACTGATAATGCACTCTCTATTATCACCCTTAGGATGGACGGAAAAGGGAGATCGAGAACAATTGTTTTTTCAATAATTTTAATTTTTTATATAATTTAGATTTTGTTTTATATTTTTATCGATGATATATTTTTATCTTTTAAATAGATTTATAAAATTTTATAAATTCACTTTTTAATATAAAAATATGTGTCCTTTATCGCTGTCAATATATAAATCAGGTGGTGGTTTCTTACACAACAATATGCCTGGAAACAAGCAAGTCTAATTGATGTAACCCCATTCCACGATGTTAGGTATGGCTCATAAATATACCAGTAAAGAGGACAGGAGATGGAGCGGAGTGAGCGAAGCGAACGCAGCGAACATCAACTGTCCTTACAAAGAAAGTCTCGTTGTGGGGTTACAAATTATGTGGGTTGAGGGTGCGGGGGCGTAGCCCCTGCGGTACGGTACAGGGTTGATTTTGTAATTATGTACCAGGGTTTTTCTATTATAAATAGAGATGTAACCTAGACCTAAAATATCATTGAATAAAATTCTAGCGCCGCCTAGGCACCGAGGACGTAAGCACATTGCCGAACCTCGTAAAATTCTCGTGTTCTTTCGTTTTCTTTACCCGTTTTCGTCAACAATTGGTATCAGATGTCAGGAGCAAAATTCGAAGTCGCGAAATTCGATGGTCAGGGTAACTTCGGATTATGGCAAACGAGGGTGAAGGATCTATTGGCGCAGCAAGGGATCTTGAAGGCTTTGCGACCTATAAAGCCGGCGTCGATGGATGAGGAAGATTGGGAAGAATTGCAGCAGCGAGCGGCAGGAACCATACGATTATGCTTGGCGGACGAGGTCATGTATCACGTCATGCATCTATCGTCTCCAGATGAAATTTGGAGGAAGTTGGAAAGTCAGTTTATGTCCAAATCCTTAACGACAAAACTGTATCTGAAGCAGCGGCTGTATGGGCTGAAGATGCAGGACGATCACGATTTGGCGCAACACGTGAATGTCTTCAATCAAATCGTTTCTGATCTGGCTCGGCTTGATGTGAAAATTGAGGATGAAGACAGAGCGATGATTCTGTTGTGTTCGTTGCCTTCCTCTTACGAACACATGGTGACTACTCTTACATATGGAAAAGAGACTATCAACGTTGAGGAGATTACTGCAGCCTTGTTGGCTCACAACCAGCGGAAGCAGAATGCAGGGGAAAGCTCTCAAGCCGATAGCTTATATGTCAAGGGTAATCGAGATCGTGGACGGAAGCCAGAGAAGGTAGGGTCCGGAAGCGGAATTCCAGATCCAAATCCAGGGATAAGAAGACGATTCACTGTTACAAGTGCAAGGAGGCGGGACATATAAAGCGAGACTGTCCGAAGTTGAAAAAGCAGACTGATGAGAAGCGTGATGGCTCATCCAAGTCTGTGAACGTGGTCGAGGATGATACTTCTGATTGCAGTGAGGGTGATATGCTTTCTATTTCAACGACACAATTGACGGATGCTTGGATTCTTGATTCTGGATGTTCTTATCACATCACGCCAAATAGGGAATGGTTTTCGACATACAGGCCGGTTAATTCTGGTTCGGTTTATTTGGGTGATGATCGATGTTGCAATATTGTTGGTATTGGTGATGTCAGAATTAAGATGCACGATGGCTCCGTTCGGACATTGAGTGGTGTTCGACATATCCCAGACTTGAAGAAGAATTTGATTTCCTTGGGCACTTTGCACAAGAATGGTTTTATCCCTAAGGCTGACGAGGATAGGGAAACCATTCGGATTGTTAAAGGAGCATTGACTGTGATGAAAGGCAAGATGACTGCAGGGAATATCTATAGATTGTTAGGGAGTACCGTTGCAGGTGGAGTTCACTCTGTTGAGTCCTGTGATGATACGACAAAATTGTGGCATATGCGCCTTGCTCATCTTAGTGAACGTGGTATGGCAGAATTACCCAAGAGAAACTTGTTGCATGGTGTCAAAAGCTGTAAGCTCGATTTTTGCAAGTATTGTGTTCTTGGTAAACAGACTAAAGTCCGTTTCAAGACTGCGAAGCACACAACTCAAGGGATTCTTGATTATGTGCATTCTGATGTATGGGGGCCTTCCACGACATCGTCTTTGGGTGGATCTAGGTACTATGTTACTTTTATTGATGATTTTTCACGGAAAGTTTGGGTGTATTTTTTGAAACAGAAATCTGAAGTTTTTGAGAAGTTCAAGCTGTGGAAAGCTGAGGTAGAAAACCAAACAGGACGAAAACTCAAGTGTTTGCGGTCTGACAATGGTACGGAGTACACAGATTCACAGTTCCTACAATTCTGTAAGGAGCATGGGATTCAGAGGCATTTTACAGTGCGCAAGACACCACAACAGAATGGTGTTGCGGAACGAATGAACATGTCGTTGAATGAAAGAGCCAGATGTCTGCGGTTGAATGCGGGGCTTCCCAAACACTTCTGGGCTGAGGCTGTTAACATGGCGTGTTACCTTATCAACAGATCGCCAAGGGCATCGCTGGCTGGGAAAGTTGCAGAAGAGGTATGGACTGGTCATGATGTTAGTTTTGATAACTTACGGATTTTTGGTTGTCCTGCTTATGTACATGTACCTGCTGATGAGAGATCCAAACTTGATGCAAAATCGAAGGAGTGCATTTTTCTGGGTTATAAGAAAGGTGTAAAAGGATTCAAGTTCTGGGATCCCGTTGCGAAGAAAGTTGTGATTAGTAGAGATGTCGTTTTTGATGAACAGTCTATGTTGCAGCAGAAGCAAGACACGACAGTGGTAGATTTCGAGCAGTTTCCAGTTGAGAAACCAGAAACTTCTCAACCGACTTCTGGTGGTTCCACTACGGATGATTTGCAGGATTATTGTCTCGCCAGAGACAGGGTGAGACGGACGAATATAAAGCCTCCGAACAGATTGGGTTTTGAAGACTTTGTATCTTTTGCACTTACTGTTAGCAGTGATGATCCAGTTACTTTTCATGATGCCGTTACTAGTCAGGAAAACGACAAGTGGATGGCAGCCATGGTTGAGGAGATGGAGTCTTTGAATCACAATCACACATGGGAGTTAGTTCCCCTTCCTGAGGGTAAGAAGCCGATTGGTTGCAAATGGGTGTATAAGAAGAAACCAGCAGTAACAGAAAAAGAGGGGGAGAAGTTCAAGGCTCGTTTGGTAGCGAAGGGTTTTTCACAGCAGAAAGGAGTTGATTATGATGAAATCTTTTCTCCTGTGGTCAGGCACACTTCAATCCGAGCAGTACTTGCATTGGTGGCTAGTTGGGATTTGCATTTAGAGCAGATGGATGTTAAAACTGCTTTTTTGCATGGTGATTTAGAGGAGCAGATCTACATGCGGCAACCTGAAGGTTTCACTCAACCTGGAAACGAGCATTTAGTTTGCAGATTGAAGAAATCTTTGTACGGTTAAAACAGTCTCCGAGACAGTGGTATAAACGGTTTGACTCCTATATGATCAAGATTGGCTACAACCGATGTGAGTATGATTGTTGTGTCTATGTTAAGAGCCTTGATGATGGTTCTTTTATTTTTCTATTACTGTATGTTGATGATATGTTGATTGCTGCGAAGAACATGGATGATGTTATCGGTTTGAAAACTTTATTGAGTCAGGAATTTGATATGAAAGATTTAGGTGCTGCAAAGAAAATTCTTGGAATGGAAATTTGCAGGGACAGAGACTCAAGGAAACTGCGGCTATCTCAACGGGGTTATGTTGAGAAAATGCTAGAAAGGTTTGCGATGAGCAGCGCGAAACCAGTTAGCACTCCATTGGCGAATCACTTTAAGCTCTCATCAGAACAGTGCCCTAAGACAGATAAGGAAGCTGAAAATATGACAAAGGTTCCGTATTCTAATGCTGTTGGCTGCTTGATGTATGCGATGGTATGTACTCGTCCTGATTTAGCTCATGATGTTAGTCAAGTTTGTAAGTACATGTCTAAACCTGGTAAGCAACATTGGGATGAAGTCAAGTGGATCTTTCGATACTTAAAGGGTACTGTGGGACATGGAATTGTTTTTGGGAGTCAGCGGGATAATCCTTTGGTTGTAGGATATGTGGATTCAGATTATGCAGGTGACTTGGATAATAGAAGATCTACGACAGGGTATGTGTTTACTCTTGGTGGAGGGCCTATTTGCTGGAAGTCTACTGTTCAATCTGTCGTGGCACTATCTACAACTGAAGCTGAATACATGGCAGCGGCTGAAGCTGCAAAAGAAGCTTTATGGCTTACTGGTTTAGTGAAGGAGTTGGGTGTTCAACAAGGTGGAGTTCAGTTGCTTTGTGATAATCAAAGTGCTATTCACTTGGCTAAGAATCAGGTGTATCGTGCTAGAACTAAACATATTGATGTAAGGTTCCACAAGATCAGAGAGTTGGTTGCATCTGGAGAGGTTTTGTTTCAGAAGGTACATACTGATGAGAATGCCGCTGATATGTTCACCAAGCCAGTTACGACAGACAAGTTCAAGCATTGCTTGGACTTGTTGAATGTTTCGAGTTGTTAAAGAAACAAGGTAACCCAACCCACATTGAAGTTTCCAAGGGGCAGGATATTCGCCAAGGTGGAGATTTGTTAGGTATGGCTCATAAATATACCAGTAAAGAGGACAGGAGATGGAGCGGAGTGAGCGAAGAGAACGCAGCGAACATCAACTGTCCTTACAAAGAAAGTCTCGTTGTGGGGTTACAAATTATGTGGGTTGAGGGTGCGGGGGCGTAGCCCCCCGCGGTACGGTACAGGGTTGATTTTGTAATTATGTACCAGGGTTTTTCTATTATAAATAGAGATGTAACCTAGACCTAAAATATCATTGAATAAAATTCTAGCGCCGCCTAGGCACCGAGGACGTAAGCACATTGCCGAACCTCGTAAAATTCTCGTGTTCTTTCGTTTTCTTTACCCGTTTTCGTCAACACACGACTATGTTAAAATTAGTTGTTTGATAAGTTAAAAATAATAATGTTGAAAGTTTACGTGTTAAAATATTAAAAGTTAGGTGTTGAATTTAAATTGTAAATATGTTTGGATTTTTTTTTTAAAAATTAAATACTTGATATATTGTTTGATGAATGTAAATTTTGAAGGATAACATAACTAAAAAATAAAAATGAGATGAAAATTGTAAAAATGATCTTTGTTTTCCATATTATTTCATTGAAACGTTTTAATTTTAAATTAAAGCAGACATATCAATGTACAACAAGTGTGATGATAGTTAGTGATGATTTAGAGGATACGAAAGAAAATAATGAAGAGGATAATTTATAATTCACCTTTTATGATTTACGTGAAGAGTTATCGATGGATTAATTTTTAAAAATAAGGAATAGAATGATTTTTTCGTTGATTGGAAGAGACATTTCTATATTTTTTGGGATCCTTTATTGTACCCTAATTGATAATCCTATTCTCTAATCTATAAAGCTACTTATTTATAAGCTTCAAAATTCAGGAATATATCCATTACTAAATCATTGATGGCGTTATTTATAGGGTACAATCAACGATTTTTGATAAATCTACATAATCCATCGTAATAAAATTTAAGATTACAACGATTCGATCTATTTAACATGCTGACTTACAAATAATCATAATAATCATATGATTAATGTCACTGTAAATATCCATCATCTACGACTGAGAATAGAGATTTCATGGCATTTTTTCCACTTTCATATTCTTCATTTCTCTATAAATTTGTGTCTCTCCGTCACGACTTTCTATTCAAATCAAAAGATATAAACCGTCAACAATGGACAACATCGATTTATATTGACGTAATAATTTTTATTTCATTGAAAGAAAGCTTAAACGATAGAGTGTACTAGAAATAAAACTTGCCGTTCTTAAAGAAATTTCATTTGACTGAAAACTGAAGATGGAAAGATTCCAGAGAGAACGGAGCATTGCTTCCGTGATGCACCGTTTATACATAAACATACATAGAAATTAAAAATACATGTAAAATCCCTAAAACTTCACATTCTCAAACAGACCTTTCAAGTTAATTTACAACTTGTCAACATCATACGTAATTCTGATCTTTGTTTATTATTAATTAAGTCCATTTTAATCTTAGTAAGAGCAAAGGCTCCCCCCCTTTTCTAGCTAATGTGGAGAAAATCTTTTATACCATATCAGATACTAAACCATTTTACAATAAGTCTAATTACTTCGTATCTCAAGGATCTTCCTTTTTTGACTTGCTCCTGAAGAAAATAATGCCTAAACGATCCCATCATACGTACACGTGGCATCTACCAACTGGTTGCATTAGAAAACCATGCACTGGCCTTTCCTCCATAAATACCCAGTCCGTCGTCTGCTAAATCCATCACCAAAAACTCAGCTTAAACTGCTCCGCTCGACTGCTAAAAGTTGGCTTCGATGGCTTTTACAACCCTTCAAAGCACGTTCTTCCTTTTAACTTTTGCTGCCACGTTTTCAGTGTTACTCAACAGCTGCCATGGATTCTACCCTAAGCTCATTAATGCCTCATTGGCGGCATCCGAGTATGGTTGGTCCCCTGCCGGAGCAACGTGGTACGGCAGCCCCACAGGGGCCGGAAGCGATGGTAATGACCAGCACGGAGAATAATTGAGACCGTTTAGCCATGTATTGAAATTTAACATTTTTTGTCTACTTAGGTGGCTCTTGTGGCTATGGAGATGGCGTGGCACGAGCCCCGTTTTCTTCATTGGTATCCGCCGGAGGCCCTTCTCTGTACAAATCCGGTAAAGGATGTGGAGCCTGTTATGAGGTGCTCGAAATTTCTTTACATATTCTACAGCTGTGCATACACATACAAGCTAATATGTATGTGGTTGAATTGCAGGTAAAATGCACGAGTAATTCAGCCTGTTCGGGAAAACCTGCGACCGTAGTAATCACCGATGAATGCCCCGGCTGTGTTTCTGAGTCGACTCATTTCGATTTAAGTGGTACTTCTTTTGGTGCCATGGCAAAGTCAGGCCAGGCTGAGAATCTCCGTGACGCTGGAGTCTTGCAAATTCAATATAGAAAGTAAGAAAAAAAAAACTAAAGCCTTAACCAAATGTCTTTTTTTTCTGTATAAAAAAACACTTCAATTTTTCTAATTATTTGCAGAGTTGAATGTAACTATCCTGGAACGACAATTGCATTCCACATTGATTCGGGTTCCAACCCCAGCTATTTCGCCACCCTGATTGAGTATGAAGATGGTGACGGTGAACTCGCTTCGGTTGACCTGAAACAGGCGCTTGACACTGACTCCTGGCAACCAATGAAACAATCCTGGGGTGCCGTATGGAAACTTGACGCCGGTTCCAGGTTGCGGGCTCCGTTCTCGATCAGGCTAACGTCGCTCGACTCTGGCAATACCATCGTGGCAACCAGTGTCATTCCGGCGGGATGGGAGCCCGGAAAGACCTATAGATCAGTTGTTAACTTTAAGGTCTAAATAGGTGGTCATACATGGACAGTATAAATTAAGTATATATAAGTTAAGGTATTGTCGGCAAGTTCTAAGTCAACATGATCATAGTCTTCCAAGACTCCTAGTGTTAATTGCTTGATTACATGTGTTTTTGGAAGAATTATTATTAAGAAAATTAATGAAATATGGTTGATAGGCTTTAATCTTGTGAGTAATTTCGAATCAATTCCCCTTTCTGTTTCTTTTTATATGTAGTGGGATAAAGGCCCACCGAGAAATTAGGTAATAATTAAATTTATGGTTTATATTAGACGTTTGATAAACCAACATTATTAAAAAAAATAAACATAAATTTAAATTTCTCAATGTAATATGATAATGTAATCTAACGAGAAATGATGATATATATAAAAAAATATAACGTGTTCATAATTAAATACGGTAAACATGAGGTCAGTAGGATCGTGGTAAAAAATGTACAAAGAAATCATTATATTATCGATTTGGAGGCAATTCTATTGACACATAAGAAATTACCTTTTTTTCCTTCCATTTCCATATGTTTTTTTATTATAATATAATTATATGTTAATAATTCAAAATTGCTTGATTGTATAAATTATAACTATGTAAATTTAAAATTTGAATAATATGAATTATCATAAAAATAATGTTAAATCCTAAAGCATTGTTAATTTTAAACAAATATTGGTACATAAAATTATCAAAAATACCTTGTGGACTGAATTTTTTACAATGCCTCGTATAATGAAATGATGAATTGACCATAAGAAACAAAATAATTAAAATAGTATGAGAGTGAAAATAATCAAAAGTCAGCACACATAGAAATTACTTGAATAACTATGCAACTAGTAAAACATCTTTTAAGAGCTTAAGACTGATTTAAAACGTATGATGTTGTAAGATTATATTGGACCTGCAATAGGTTCGACGGCCCCTGCAATCTAGACTGCCAGGTTGTTGGGCCTGTAGTTGATGGGTTGAATAAGGTTGGACCAGTTGTGATATTTCCAATTATAGGAATGATCATATCCTTGTATAGCTCGTTCTTGAACATGAAACTTCAAGAAATAATAACAAATCTCTTAGTAGGTCATTTACTTTATGTAAGTACATATATCACATTAAACGTTTTATTAAAGTATTATGTTTGCTATTTTAGCAAAGAACATGTATCATATTAGATGTTTTATTAAACTATAGGAACTAAATACGATATTAGTGTTAATACTTGCGAAAATTATGTTGAAGTTGAATCACCCTTGTCGAGGGGTGATTCAAACTTGGAATTCCCCCCGGAGGAAAAATGAGTGACCCTTGAAAACGAGCGAGCCTATTTCTTGCTGTAAAATCCATGGCTTGTGTGTGACTATAGTAAATTCCCAGCGACAATAAAAAACATGACTCACGAGTTACATCAACGTCTCTGTTGGGGAAAACGGGTTATTTCCCACACGAACGTAGTTTTAAAATTGATCTAAAATGTCAAGATTAAAACCACCAAAGGTTGCACATCGGATAAACCTGTCAAACTATTGAATATTGAAACACAATGGAAAAGAAACGAATAAAAAACAATAAAGGAGAGAACACACCAAATTTACGAGGTTCGACGAGAATATCGTCTACTCCTCGGGCACCACACCGGATGATAACTTCACTATATCGCCAATATTACAACAAATGAAATTCTTTGGAATTCCCAAAGTGAGAGAATGAAGAATACAAGAGGAAGAGAGAACTTGTTTTTGAGATGCTTTCTAATGGAAATACTTAGGCCTATTTATAGTTGAGTTTCAAGAACAATATGTTCAAAGTTTGGCCACCTACCAAAGAATTTTCCAATGTGTACAAGTTAGCCACCAAATATGAAATTCACATGTTCAAAGTTTGGCCACCAACCAAGATGAAATTTCAATAAGTTGGCCACCAACCAAGATGAAATTTCCAACTTATCAACTTAATTTCTAGACAAATCTAACAAATCTCCACCTTGGCTTGAAATTACCAAGCCTACTCAACTTCTTCAACTCCCCAAATTTGTAGTGCCTCTAATTGCGCTCACAAGCGCCACACACCCGAAGGTGTTCATACTTTCAGGATGTTAATCAAGTTCAAACAATGATTGAACTTGATTACTGTTACCACCTTGGTCATCATATCTGCAGGATTTTCTGATGTCGCAATTTTCTGAAGTAGAATCTTTCCTTCTTCAAAGATCTCCCGCACAAAGTAATACCTCACGTCGATATGCTTAGTCCTTGAATGGTACACTTGATTTTTCGCCAAGTGAATAGCGCTCTGACTGTCACAATAGAGACTAATGTGACTTTGAACAACTCCCAAGTCTTCCATCAACCCGTTAAGCCAAATTGCTTCCTTTACAGCCTCTGAAACTGCCATGTATTATGCCTTTGTAGTAGACAAGGCCACCGTAGATTGCAATGTAGACTTCCAACTTACTGGGGCTTTAGCAAGAGTAAACAAATACCCAGTAGTTGATCGACGCTTATCAAAATCACCAGCATAATCGGAATCAACATATCCAACCATACACTGACCAAGTGCTTCATCCTGTTTAAAAACTAAACCAACATCCACGGTTTGTTGGAGATACCGTAGAATCAATTTCACAGCTTGCCAATGTCCTTCTCCAGGATCATGCATGTACCTGCTCACAACTCCAACTGCTTGTGAAATGTCAGGACGCGTACACATCATTGCATACATCAAGCTCCCAACTGCATTAGCATATGGAACTTTTGCCATATACACTCGTTCTTCGTTAGTTTTAGGAGATAATTGAGAACTAAGTTTCAAATGAGAAGCCAAAGGGATACTTACATGTTTGGTATTTTCATTCATGCCAAAACATTGTAATACCTTTCTCAGATACTGTTTTTGTGTTAAACAAAGCTTCCGTCTCTGTCTATCTCTGCTTATCTCTATACCAAGAATCTTCTTGGCCTCACCTAGATCTTTCATCTCAAACTCTTGATTCAACTGAGCCTTTAATTTGTCTATCTCCTTTTGACTCTTCGAAGCGATCAACATATCGTCAACGTACAAGAGAAGATAAATGAAAGATCCATCTTTGAGCTTTTGCAAATACACACAATGATCATATTTGCTTCTAGTATACTTTTGCCTCCTCATAAAGCTATCAAATCGCTTGTACCACTGCCTCGGAGATTGCTTCAATCCATATAGCGATTTGTTCAGCTTACAAACCCATTTCTCACAACCACCATCTTTGTATCCTTCTGGCTGAGTCATATAGATCTCCTCTTCTAAATCACCGTGCAAGAAAGCCGTCTTTACATCAAGTTGAGCTAGCTCCAAATTCAACTGTGCTACCAAGGCCAACAATATTCTAATGGAGGAATGCTTCATAACAGGGGAAAATACTTCATTGTAGTCGATTCCCTCCTTTTGAGCGTAGCCTTTAGCTACCAACCGTGCCTTGTAGCGAACATCTTTCTTGTTATGAGATCCATCTTTCTTTACAAATACCCACTTGCATCCAATGGCTCTTTTACCTTTCGGTAATTGTGCCAGTTTCCAAGTGTTGTTCTTTTGGAGAGATTGCATTTCTTCATCCATGACACTTTTCCACTTATCACTTTTCAAGCTTTGTATTGCTTCTTGGTATGTGATAGGGATATCATCATCAACAACTGGAAGAGCATAGGCCACCATATCAACAAATCGAGCAGGTCTACGAATTTATCTCCTTGGCCTTGTAACTGCAAGTGTTTCTGGTGTCTCCAATGGTTCTTGGGTTTGAACCTCTTCATCTTCTGATTCTTCTATTGGAGTTGAAGAATCAGCTGCATCAACTTCTGGGATCTTCATCTGCTGAAACTCCACCTGTTTTGGAGTATGCTCCACCTGCTGCGGAGTACTACTTGTCTGGACAGCTTCACTTGTTACCTTCTTTACTAAGGCAGATTCATCAAAGGTAACATCTCTGCTACAAATTATCTTCTTGGTGTCTAAACACCAAAGGCGGAATCCCTTCACGCCATGGGTGATTCCCATAAAGAGAGCCTTCTTTGCTCTCGGATCAAGGTTGGATTCCTTCACATGATAATAAGCAGTGGATCCAAATATATGTAAGGAATCATAATCAGTAGCAGGTTTTCCAAACCATACCTCAAATGGTGTTTTTCCTCCTATCGCTGATGACGGCAGACGATTAATGAGATGGCCAGCATATGTCACAGCCTCAGCCCAAAATGCCTTGCCTAACCCAGCATTAGACAACATACATCGAACTTTCTCCAATAGTGTTCGATTCATACGCTCTGCCACCCCATTCTGTTGTGGTGTATGTCTAACAGTGAAGTGTCGAACAATACCATACTCATGGCAAACGTCAAAGAATGGGTCACTTTTATATTCTCCTGCATTGTCCGTCCTAAGACGTTTGATCTTTCTACCAGTCTGGTTCTCGATCATATTTTTCCATTTCAGGAAAACTTGAAGCACTTCATCTTTAGACTTCATCGGATACACCCAAACTCTTCTGGAAAAGTCATCTATAAAAGTTACAAAATAATGGTTTCCTCCCAAAGACGATGTCTTTGAAAGACCCCATACATCTGAGTGAATATAATCTACAATACCTTTTGTATTATATATAGTGGTGCCAAACTTCACTTTCTTCTGCTTTCCCAAAACACAATGCTCGCAAAAGTTCAATTTGCAAGCCTTTGTACCTTTCAACAATCCTTTCTTTGCCAGAATTTGCAAGGATTTCTCTCCAGCATGTCCCAACCGCATATGCCACAACTGGGTTGCGTCTAAATCATCACCTCCGGAAGCTGCTGCAACTGCTCCAATAATTGTACTACCTTGGTAGTAATACAAATTATTTTTCCTGATGCCCTTCATCATCACAAGTGCGCCATATGTGACTTTTAAAACTCCATCTCTCATAGTGACTACTGAACTTTTGGATTCTAAGGCTCCCAACGATATACGATTTTTCTTTAAACTGAGCACGTATCGGACATCCGCCAGAACTCTGGTTGATCCATCTTGATTCTTCAATCGAATTGAACCTATCTCAACAGTTTTACAGGCATTATCATTGCCCATATAAACAACTCCTGCATTTAGTTCCACTAAATCGGAGAACCACTCCCGATTAGGGGACATATGATAGGTGCAACCCGAATATAATATCCACTCATCGGAATGGAATGTTGTTGATGAAGCAACCAATGATATGTCAGAGTCATGTGCATCATGCTCTGCAACACATGCATCTGGAGCAGCTTTTCCTTTCTTCTTCAGCTTCGGACAATCTTTCTTCCAATGGTCTTTCTCATGACAAAAGGCACATTCATCTTTTCCCAGTCTGGACTTCGACTTTGATCTCCCTCTCCACTTTGGCTTTTGACTTTTCGAGCGACCTCTTGCCACCATGGTCTCCGCTGCTTCGTATTTGCTCTCCTTCTTGGTTTTCTTCCTGAGTTCATAACTATACAAAGCAGCAGTTACATCTTTAAGGGTAACATTATCCTTACCATGAAGTAACGTTGTCTCAAGGTGCTCAAATTCATCTGGAAGAGATGACAAAAACATCAAAGCCAAATCTTCATCTTTGAAGGTTTCATCCATGCCCAATAAGTCTTCCACTAGCTCATTGAACGCAGTGATGTGTTCATTCAGACTGGTGCCTGGTTGATAATCAAATCTGAACAATCTTTTCTTCATGATGAGACGATTCTGAGAGCTTTTCTTCAAGAATTTTTCCTCCAAAGCTTTCCACATCTTACTTGCAGAAGTCTCGTTCTTGTAGACATACTTCTGCTCCCTGGAAAGACAAGATCGAATCGTGATGCACGCCAAACGATTGATTGTTCCCCATTCTTTCTCCTCCATATATTCGGGCTTTTCTTCCTCAATGGCGATGTCTAGACCTTGTTGGAATAAAACGTCTAACACATCGCCTTGCCACATGCCAAAATGACCGGATCCATCGAACAACTCCACCGAGAAATTTGCATTTGACATCACCCTCCTCACCGGTCCAGATAAAGAGCTTGATGTCTCAACTGATCTGTATTTTGGCATTTTAATTCTAACGAACAATATTCAATATCACGAACTGTATCTTTTCAGCAACGGAACCACCAGGATAACCTCAACCGAAGCTCTGATACCAATTGTTGGGGAAAACAGGTTATTTCCCACACGAACGTAGTTTTAAAATTGACCTAAAATGTCAAGATTAAAACCACCAAAGGTTGCACAGCGGATAAACCTGTCAAACTATTGAATATTGAAACACAATGGAAAAGAAACGAATAAAAAACAATAAAGGAGAGAACACACCAAATTTACGAGGTTCGACGAGAATATTGTCTACTCCTTGGGCACCACACCAGATGATAACTTTACTATATCGCCAATATTACAATAAATGGAATTCTTTGGAATTCCCAAAGTGGGAGAATGAAGAATACAAGAGGAAGATAGAACTTGTTTTTGGGATGCTTTCTAATGGAAATACTTAGGCCTATTTATAGTTGAGTTTCAAGAACAATATGTTCAAAGTTTGGCCACCTACCAAAGAATTTTCCAATGTATACAAGTTAGCCACCAAATATGAAATTCACATGTTCAAAGTTTGGCCACCAACCAAGATGAAATTTCAATAAGTTGGCCACCAACCAAGATGAAATTTCCAACTTGTCAACTTAATTTCTAGACAAATCTAACAGTCTCATGATTCTGAAAATTTTCATGTGATCTCTGATCGTAAAACATACACCTTTTTTTTTCCTTTCCCAATTCTATCATTTACTCAATCTCGGGACGAAACTTCCCCAGCCAGCATGACGACACCAGGAAATGCGTCCAAAGTGCACCCAATCTCACACAAGCTCCACTATGTTCATCGCTAAGATTTGTCATCGTTAAGTTTACCCTAAAGAAATCCAAGGATACACTCGGTCACTTTACGAACATGCATGGAAGTTACTTGTATGACTCGTATCTGTAAGGGGGAAACAACAGTTGAACTGCCCTACGTTAAAACCAGAATGAATTGTCAATTATGTCCATCTAAAACAAACTAATCAACTTGAGTTTGGTACTGCAGTTCCTAAGATTATGATTTAAGTATAATCTTTAACACGAATCAAACGATTTCAATTGTAGAAGAGACGGTTGTTCTCTTTAGAGATCATGAATTCGAACACGTTTTCCGTAAAAGTCGTGTGAACGTACATTGTTAAACAATTGAGGGTCCTTCAAATAGATCTCTCATAAGAAGTGATTAATCAATAGGACAGGGACCAAGTCTTTCAGGCCCCAAGAAAAACGGCATTTACTCCCACATAGAAATCTACTTTCCCAATGGGAAGTTAGTTATTGTTTCCTGCCCATTTCCCCCACTCTTCATTTGGATTAGACATTTCAACAAAAAAATCCAAAATTAGTGGAAAATTAACCCCGAACAAAGTTGACATTACTATTATCATCATTATTATTATAAAATATATATAAATTTATATTTAATACATGAAAAATGTATACACCCTTTTTATTTTTTTATTATTTTTTTGTAGAAAACCAGTTCTTTTGCACTGGTAAGGAAAGGCAGTTTCGGCATGTGTTGATCGAGAGAAAGTATCCCCATGTTACGTGTCGCTCTATCTCCTTCATGTTTACGCTTCCATTAAATCCTTGCTTATTATTGATATTTTCCCTTTAAGAGAAAGTAAATTACCCTTTTAAATAAGTTTATTTATTTATTTATTTTGAAATTTTCATTGTGCCTATGTGTATAACATACGTATGTCACCTACTTTTAAACTCTCTTTCTATGCTTCTTTTAAACTCGGGCTGCCTCAAGAAAAAACTCACTTCCTTTCACTTTCAGACGTACATAAAACATAAACATCTACTACTACTGATCTGTTTGTTGAACTCTGTTTCTTTGTGTTTTTGACGATGGAGAAACACAAGTGTAAGCTTTGCTTGAAAAGCTTACCAAATGGAACGGCTTTGGGCACTCATATGAAGTCTAACATGTTGAATCTTCCAATTCCTCCTAAACTACCACCGAGTCAACTCAGCCAAGAGTCCGAGGCAGCTTCGTATTCATCATCTTCATCAGAAGGGGAGGGGAAAGAGCAGCTTTACGGGCTTAGAGAGAATCCAAAGAGGAGTAGTCGCTTAGTGGACCCTGGATTTGTTGATGCTGACTCGGCTGTTCTTCAGGCCAGAGAAAGTGAGACCGAGACGGCTATGAACCCAACTCGGAGGCGATCCAAACGGACTCGGAAAACGCTAGAGCAACAAGAAGAAACGAGGAAGCTCAAAGTCAAAACCAACCAACCGAGTCAAACAGAGTCGTGGGGGGAGCCCGACCCGGTGAGTTCCATCTCCGACAACACTACCGATGAAGATGTCGCCTTCTGTCTCATGATGCTTTCAAGGGACCAATGGAAAAGTAAAGAACATAAGGATGACGATGTTGAAGAAGAAACGGATGAATCAGAAGGGTACTTCACGACTAGAGCCAAGTACAGATGTGAAACATGCAGCAGAGCTTTCAACTCGTACCAAGCACTGGGTGGACACAGAGCGAGTCACAAAAAGATCAATGCTTACGAAACAGAGTTGTCACCAGCAAATATGGGTGCTCGTCCAATGTCGGGAAAGAAAACACATGAATGTCCTGTTTGTTATAGAGTCTTCTCATCGGGGCAAGCTCTTGGTGGACATAAAAGATCACATATTGTAACTGGTCGAGTAGCAGCAGCAGCAACCCGAACCTTTGTTGAAAGTTCCAAAAAAGTGATAATTAATTTGATAGACCTTAATCTTCCTGCTCCGGTGGACGACGACGATGAAGACGATGGGGTTCTAATACTGAAATAGTCAACAAATCACAACAATGTTTGATCCAAAGGTAAACAATTTTGGTTGCTTTTACCTGTTTGTTTGGGTCAAACTACCCTGTTCTAACTTTTAACTGTCTCTTATAGCCAAGTTTGAACAATGCTTCTGGGTATATAGTTTGTTCATTGAACAGTTAACTGCCGTTGTCTGTTTTAACAGAGAGAATGTGTGTGGCTTAACTTGGTTGGATCAAGTATCCTAAAACTTCGGTCACCTTCATTAAATATGTAATAAATGTCTTTTTATCTTTGAAGTTTTGGTATATTTCATTTAGGGCAAGCAGGGGCTGCACATGCCTTTGAACTTTAAGTAATTCCAAGCCATGGCAGTTAGAACTGCTTCATGGATCCATATAAGTGTTAACCTAAATAAATATGGTGTATTAGTACGGGCGCTAACTTAAAAAGGTGTATTAGAAATTTAGGAGTGTGAATTACGAAATTAGATGATAAGTAGAAAATACAAAAGAAAATACTTAAAATTTATAAAAATTTGTCATTTTCAGGGGTGAACCACACCCTCGGCATCCCTCAATCCATCCAGAGAGTGTCCTTTTTGAAAATACTCAACTAGGGAGTGAGGACAGAGGGTTTTAATTTTCGAGCTTTCTCCTTGGACCATTTCAAAGGGGGGATTGGTCCCTTTTTACCAAAGCTAAAAACCCTTTTCAAAGGATTAATGATGACGAAAGACCAAGTGAAGAAGGGAGTTAGGTTTGTTGAAGGAGAGTGAATGCTACTTGGTAGTCTAATTAATTAACAGTCCCACTGGTGGGGGCTTTGAATTAAAAGGGAGGAGAAAATGCAAGCCAAAGCCATCCAAGTTGATTTGCCATTGCTGGTTTACGAGTTCAAAAATACCATCCAAGGTCAACATGCTGATCCTTTTCCACTGCTCTTCCTCATCATCAAGGTTATAACAAACACGACATCATCATCATCATCATCTTTTATGCACCCAATCCCTGCACTTAAATAGGATAAGTCTTCTTTTATGGGCAAATTTCTTTGATTCCTACAACAAACACCATGATTTCATTTCCCTTCAAGTCCTACACGCTTAGTGGTTGTTTCTCACATGTGATCTCCATCCTTTTCATAGCAAGCAGCGGGAAAAGCAAAAATTACCATTATAGAAGATGCTCAATTTGACCCCTTGAATTGCCATGTATTTTGTCATTTGAATTCACTTCCATATGGTCCCAATGGAATTCATATTCCATTCAAACAATGTTATGGTCCCTAACTCTTGTTTATGTTGCTACTTACCATCTAAACAATCTCCCCATTGTCCGTCGGAAATAAGGACGAATATCGTAGGAGTTAGGGACAGACATAAGATATCTCTCCGAGTTTTTGTATGCATGTTTTGAGAGAAATGCAGAGCATATAATGGAATCAAGGCAGCTGAAGATGAACCATAATGAACCATAACATGGCGTATAGGAGCAAGAAATGACATGTTTAGCTCAAGCTCCTCCTCTTACACAACTTCATTCCAAAAACTTGCAATTGCTAAAAGCCTCAAAGTTACCATATTTGCAATTCCAAAAACAAATTAGATTAGATGATATTTATGGTTTCATCTTCGATCTCTTAATAGTTATAATTTAAAGAATTTATTTAAATACTAAAAAATATGTATATTTAATCAATGTACCAACAAAAATTATTCATATCGAGTCAAATAAACTATATGAGCGATAAATAGGGGTGTTAATTGAGTTGAAAATCTCGTGAGTAGTTTAAACTCGATTTGGATAAAACTCGGTCAATGTTTGACTCTAGTTTGACTCAAAATCTTAATTAGTCAATTCGAATAAGATCTAACTTGATTCGATAAATTCACGAGTAACTCCTTAATTCTTTTTTATATTTTTTAGGATTTCATTTGAATTTTTAGGATTAATTATGTATTAATATTTTTTTTCAAGAATGCTAGTAATATGTTAATTTGATTTATTTTTAGATTGTTATTTTGAAGTTTAAACTTTGAAATTAATTCATACATTATTTTGATCATTTTTATTGAATTTATGTTTGTATTAAGCATTATATAGTATTACTAGATTTTATATGTATTTAAAAGAAAAAGAAAAATTTTGGCAACCTTAACGAGCAAGACTTTTTTTTTTAAAAGAACATGAGTTGAGCAAAATTTTAAATTAACGAGTATTGAAGCAAGTCGAACAATTTTTAAGTCAAACCGAACATTGCTCAACTCGTGATAAACTCGTTCAATAAACATCACCAGCAATAAAACTATTTAAATGTTGTATTCTTTTTTTCCACCAATTAATCTAGGATGATCACGAATAGTAGTAAATGTTCTAAAGACTCAATTATTTGACAATACACTCGAATACCCTATAGTCGCTATTGTAAGTCCCCAAAACTTTCGAAAATAACAACCATCCTTTTTACCACTAGATAGCTTGGTTGGTACAAGTGTTATATTCTTAATAACAAGAACTCAAGTCTTGAGCCGTAACACTCTTTATATCAGTAAAATTTACTACCAATGTCTCCATGAGTATGGTTCAAATTTACAGGTACTAGGAATGTAGTATTAAATTGGACTGCGATGTTGCGGATGTTGTAAACAATACCTAATGTGTAAGTGCTATGATTGTCAATGGGTGTAATTTATTTTTTAAAAAGTTATAATACTTTTAAAATAATATATATATATATATATATATATATATTATAACATTATTTTAATATTAATATACTTTGTTATGTATTTTATTTAATTTATAAAATAAAAATGTATTAAAAATATGAATTATATAAATACTATCTTGTAGAATAAAAACAATCATAATTTTAATGAATAACATATAAATAATCTAAAAACACTCGAGTGTTTTGTTTCAAGTCATTTAGAAGTTTCTTACACATCATACATGATTTATTATGTCATTATGTAATAATTTTACATCGTAAATGTCAAGATGTGACTTTCTTATTGTGTTGCACCAATATTATGATTTGTCAAATCTTAAACATTATTACCATGTTAAAAAATTTACATCAAACTTGAGATATTTTGACCTGTACCATGTAGAATATTTTAGTGTTCTACGTCGGGCATTGAGTTTGGTTTTCGAGAGTGTAAGGGCGTTGCTTTTTTAGGGTTAGGATGCAGTTTCAGCTTTTTTCTATCAGCTAAATCTTTAAGATCATTCTGGGATTCTTTATATTTATGGTGAAGTAGAAGTCAGGAATAGCGACACACTGCCTTTGGTTTTTCCCCCTGGCTTCTTTAAATACGAACGTCGGCATGCTTCAAAATCAAACCCTATTCTGATCAACTTGTGTTCATTTGCAGGGTGAAGACAATGACAAGAGGCCAATACGTATCCTGATACGTGGCTGTAGCCCACATCAGGAGAGGATCAATAAATGCCAAAACTTGTCCTTGCTTCGGGTGACCAAATAAAAACTCATCCCTACCCTTTAAAATTTTGGTAAATAGCACAAATAATCTTCTAATTATAAATCGATGTTCTTATAAAATGAGTATTCACTATTTATTTTTTTAGATTCTTCCTTTTTTTTATTAACATGTGGGCTACTGCCACATATTACTTTCGAGCATTGATTTTATGATATAATGTAAACGGAAAATTAATTCATAAATTATAGTTTAAATAGTTTTAAAATTAAATTTTATTGTATCTCAGTCAGTAGATTAACGTCCAACTGAGACGATCATTAATTTTTAACAAAAAATGATGAATCTAGAACATATAAATAGTTGTGTGATCATTTTATATATTTTAAGAATTAGAAGTCTTGACAAAACAACACGCTACGATCATGAAATTATTTATTTACTCCACCCTAAAATTTTCTTATTTCCTTACCATCATGTGAAGGCTTAAGCAAACAAACCAAAAAAAATTTATGAACCCAACTGATAGATTTTAGTTGGGTTCAATTATAAAATCCTTGATAAGATATTGTATGAAATATTGTCGACACCGTTTTTCGTCCGAGCGGGGAAAGACTGATACTGACTTAGGGGTTTACTCTTTGAAAAGCGTTTCGAAATGTGAGAAGTTGCCACCAATCATTTAAGGTGCGATTGAGACACCATAAAAACCGTGTGATTTTAATAAAACATTTTATTTTTATCAAAATACCAAGTTTAAGGTATGCAAAAATCCATAAATCATGTTTGGGAGTCAGTTACGCATGGGGAAGGATTAGTGTAACACCCCCAACCCGTATCCGACCCGGATACGAGTCCAAAGTGTCACATTGACTTTTCAAACATTTATTCGTATAAAATAGTGAGTAATTTAAAAACTTTTATAACATTTAACTTATTCAAAACGTTTATAAAAATATATCAGAGTTCATACAATTTATATCTTTAGACTACATGCCAACTACACTCTATATACAGTACATATATTTTCTGATCTGACATTTGGTAAGGAGAACTGACATGTCTTGCTCCGCATTACTCTTTACTCTTCTCGAAACCTACGTGTGAAACAATCACACGCTAAGTCGTTGACTTAGTGAGGCATATAAAACATATAATATTTCATATAACATAAAGCATACATAAACATATACCATCATTATCATAATCTCTATCATTATCATTAAGAAACACACAAAACATCATATGGTTCATGTAACACATTTCAAACCATTTTATAAACACATCGTATACATATCACATTCAGTATGTTTGTTTAATCTCTTTATTAGCCCATGTACACTAGTGAGAACTTAAGGTATGTGAGTACATTGAGGTTGTGCACACATATGTTGTTACCACAGCTCGATCAATGTCCCGAAGGACCTATCCAGAGGTCACAAGGAACCTCGGTAACTATCCATAGGTCATAAAGATCCTCGGCAACTGTCCATAGGTCCCGAAGAACCTAGGTATACTGTCCATATGTTCCTTAGAACATAGGTATACTATCCATATGTCCCGAAAGACATAGGTAATTATGTCCATATGTTTCGTAGAACATAGGTAAACCCTCGACTCTTGGCATGCCAACTATACCACTAGCTCTCATATTACATAACATGGGCATTATCATTATGAATACATTTCTCATCACTTGTTCTTTCTCTTCTGTCACATACCACATGTATGTGTAACCATG